AATGCGAGACTGGGCTACTTGAAATTAGTATCCAGATACGCAGTTGCACGTGGCAAATTCAAAGTCTGACGAAAATCATATTATTTTGAGGGCATGATCAATTTATAATAATAGTAAGTATATCTATATGCAGGGCTCTTAAATACTTTTTTAAAAATATCTTTTTATTTGCCTTAAAATGACATTTCAGGAGAGTGCAACTTTGTATTATAGGTTTAGAATGAAATGTTTTTATTTATGACACAATAGTCTAAAACGTTCGGCTGTTAAACCAAAAGATGTATCAATCAAACTTAGTAACGGTAAAAAAATATTAGTATTGAAGTATATGCATAGTAAGCAATCTTTAGTAATATTATTGTTTAATATAATCTAGAAGTAATTGTACCGAGAGGAAGCCACACAACACAAGCTATTTGTAGTCACTTGACACACTTCTAGCTCCTATAGAGTGACGTTAAATAAAAAACCTCACATCTTATAAGTTATTAGAAATAAATTTAAGTGATTTATTGTTATAAATTTGTTTTGAAAATTATTTTATTATGGAATACTATTTCAAGGAAGGCAGGTACATACCTAGTTGAAAATTCTTTAAGTGATAGTTTTAGGTGCGTGGGTATACCTACTTCGAACGGAATAGATTATTGAAAAATGACCATCACTCCATCTAGAAGAGTTTGTTGTGCATACACGACGGCATGTCACAGGTCTTACGTCAGTTTCGACATCATGGATGGTATTTGTGGGAGTCAGGATTTTCAAATGTGGAAACTTGTTACATTGAAACCTAAATGTATATGCAGCTGTCAAAAGGCACACGGTATAGAGTACAGATAAGCCGAAGTTTCTAGCTAAGTTGGGACTAAGACACGAATTAATTGTATCCTTCCCGAGTATGACAACAGGGCTAGCTATCAGGAATACTAGCCGACACCATTGCCTTTTAGTGCAGATGAAGCCATAGTTGAATGCTACAGTAAAGTCTCTTTAAAATACTGAATTTACTGTATACACTTTTTATCATTGTGTCCATAACTGGACTCGTAAGGAGAGACTATTTGCCAAAATCAGTAGAAAAAAATTTGACGTTCTTGCAGTTATATAGATACTAGGTTGTCTGATATATGTCCTAAATAGGTAAAAACAGTGTACTAATTTTGAATACACTAATAGAAATTATCTAGATTATGTATAGATATTGGTATATTATTCAACAAAAAGTTTCTAAAACTGAGAAAAGGTTATTAAATAATAGGTTTTGTTAAAAATAAACATAAATGTCATAATAATTGTTTATTATTTAAAAAAATAAAATTTTAAATAACATGGAAAGTAAATGTAAAGTAGCTTAACTAAAATTAATGCTTAGTTATAAAAAGAATGTCATAAAATGTTAGTGGACCCTTATCTCCTTTTTTTGCAGACCGTATAAAGATTTTTTGTTTGAGATTCCTTTAAATTATCTTTATTGCAGTCATTTTCTTTACTTGCACAGAGTATTTACTTAGCATTAAAAACAAAGTCTACTTTTATAGCCATGGTTACAGAATACCGACATTGCTCCTAAATATCTGGAGTGCTTTGTTTTGTTTATCACTTTGTTAAATAATCAAAAAGATGAACACATATACCGATTTTTAACTTGATGTTAGTATCTAGTAATAATAGTAGCCTGTTCCTTTAAGCCATTACTTCTTTAGATAATTTCTCATTAGCATTGATTTTTTTCAGATTTTTACTATGTGATATTTTTAAATTTCTTAAATTTTCTATAGTAATCTTACAAAAGTTACCAAAAACTAATACTGCAAAGCCAACAACCAATAACAAAAAGACAATAATGTATTGCTGGATAATATTTTGATAAGTCAAATCATCAATAATTTTTTTGTATCTCTCCATAATAAGAAAGTTCAATTCCTGGGTACTATTGAGTAGTTCCATATAAGCTAAAGAATTTGTATTCATTGAAGTAAGAGACAGTTTAAGTATCTCTTCATCGCAAGATGACATATTTCCAATCATGTCCATTCCTGATGCCTGTTGAAAAAATATAAATGGCAAAATTATTTTTTTTATTTGATAATGATTTAGCTTTACTATTAAATCAACACTAGTATTATAAACAGTTACTTAAAATAGGTAGATAGATACTTCTATTACCTATTGAAATTAACGAAAAGACATGAGTATATTATTATAGATTATGTTAATTTTAGTAGCTTTTTAGCCTAGATTATAACCATGATTACTTTAAAAAATAAAAATGAAATATCTTTAAGGATCATCAAATAGAAAAGTATTCATTGAAATATGGAATTATATTTAAAACATACATCACAAGAGAGCAAACATATGTCATGGTGTAAGTAACTAATACTATTAAATTTGGTTGAATAAGTGCAACTTCTTTATAATTAATATAACCTGCCAAAGATTAAAATTTAAATATTCCCCAAATAGAAAAGCAGATTATACAATACAACTACTATATATATATATATATATAAATTTGTTTATTATAATACTAATGAAACTGAAATCACACATGTAAAAAAAACAGAACAGTAATTTTGATATGTGACCAAAACTAAATGATACAACTCGAACTCGAACATTAATTTAATATACAAGTTTAAAACACATTGACTAGCCTGGCATGTTATCTTAAATTCAATTTCATCACTTTACGGAGCAAAAAAATTAAGACATTCGTCGGTATAACCGTAAACAAGGATGTAAAAGTATTTTATATATTACACACATAATTACGTACAAAGCAACTGAAACACCAATCTGCACATCAAGTACTGAGGTGACAAGTAAAATACTTTTAAATATAGTTAAACACTAGTCGAAAATCGAAATGGCAGTAATTCTCTAAACATTGCTTTATATGCATGTGGATAGCTTGCTATGAAGGCATTTCATAATGTTCAGCGTATTTACTAAGCTGGACATCAATGTCGGTTAAAATGTAGGACAATTTATAATAACAATATACGAACCAGTAAAGCCAGATGTAGTTGGAAAGTCAAAGTTTGTAATTGTCGCACTACAAATAAAAATTCCACCACAATTAATAATTACAAATTATAGGAATAGAAACGAGGATTATTATTTTCACTACAGTTAACACTTAACTGTTAACAGTACATTTAATTCTTTAGTCTTCACAAATTATACTTCACGACTGACAACTGACAAGTAAAATATTGAAGGTACATATCTTAAGGTGTTAACACTTTAACTAAGCTGTAGCTTAAGGCTACAGCTATGAGTTAACAGCTGAACAGCAGTCATTTTACGATTTGAGCCTTATCAGAATGCCAAATCGTAAAATGGCTGCTTCACGACTGATTTAAGCGCGACCACCGCTGCGAAAACCGCTGTGAGAGTTCAAAAAGTGAGTTACAGAGTCGCAAGGCGGGTTGGGTTTTGAATACCGTCGCACTTTTTTTATGATACTAACTATTTAGAACACCTCCAAGTGATTTTTGCTGCAGGAAACGCGTCTAAGTATTTTTAATAAAAATTTAAAGTTTTGTGAAATGTATTGAAATTTGTAAACAATCCGCCATTTTCTACTCTTCTATTGGTTATTAGAGATGTGACGTTCACTCTAAAAAATCGTGTTTTTAATTTATCGATTGTTAATAATCGTTTTTTTTTTTATCGATTATTTCCACATTTTTTAAATTTAAAGTTATAGAATAATCAACATTGAAATTAACCTAATTTCGTGTTGAAAGATTATAGGGTTCGGAAAATTTTTGAAATTATCGATACCTACTCGTCTTTATTTTCTAATTAATACTTGGATTTCATTGTTTGCAACTTTCTATATTATTTAATTTTTTACTAGAATAAAGTGTTTATTTTAATATCCAAGAAGTACCCAAAACCGAATCAGAGCACCCCACTATCCACGTGGTCTTGTCTGTCTTACCCCTAGAGTGTTTATAAATAATCGGAGGCGCGGAGGAAGAGCAGCCCCCACCCTTGCGTACCAAAGCACAGGCATTATATGCCTATATGCTACGCAAGGGTGGAGGGGCTGCATTTCCCGTAGCGCCGGAGCTGTCCAAAAAAACAAATATTATTTAGATCGGTTAGGTTAGGTAAGTATATGAATATTTATTTTTAAAATAACTGTTCAACTGAAACTGATCTTGAACTATGATTGATTTTCAATTATTTTTAATATTAAAATCGAATACAAAAATCGATTTTCACTTTTAAAGAAATCGATTATTTTTCACATCCCTATTAATTTTATAAACGCAAACGGCCATTTCGAATGTGGATTTTGCTAGAACAGTGTGTGAACAGTCTTACAGTGCAGAATATCCGTTAGAAATCCGTTACTTAAAAAACGATTATTAACAATCGATTAATTTAAAAACGATTTTTTAAAGTGGATGTCACATCTCTTATAACCAATAGAAAAGTAGAAAATGGCGGATTGTTTACAAATTTCAATACATTGCACAAAACTTTAATTTTTTTTTAAAATACTTAGACGAGTTTCCTGTAGCAAAAATCACTTGGAGGTGTTCCAATGAAGGTCCCCCGAGACTCCTGCATAGTTAGTATCATCAAATAAGTGCGACGACATTTAAAACTATTACCCGCAAGGCTAATATCTAATAATATCTACGAATGACATAAATTGAATGAAAAGGTCTAGTGCTTAATCTGTACCTCTTACATACATAGGTACTCTGTGGCATGAGCCATGACGCCATTTTGTGATTTGTCACGCATTTTTGCTCCGGTGGTGAAAATTTAAAATTACATTACGAGCTTTGTATTTAACTGTGATAGTAGGCTTTTTGCTTAAAGGTGATTATTTATATTTAAGGTAAGTGCTTTCCAATTAATTACGTTGAAATGTGCCTCAACTGTAAGAGAAAACTGACCCATCATGTCGAACCCACGAAAATGGACGCTTCTGACTCATTTAGACAAATTATGTATGCGTTTCAGAATCTAAAATGCCGGGCGCCGGTACTTTCAAAATCTTCGTCGGGAATCTGTCCGATAAAACTACAGATGCCGATCTAAGACCGCTGTTCGAAAAATACGGTACGGTCGTAGAATGCGATATCGTCAGAAATTACGGTTTCGTACACATGGAAAACGAGCAAGTCGGCCGCGAAGCCATTCAAAATATTAACGGAGAACTAATTCACGGGCAAGCGATTAAAATAGAAGCGGCCAAGAGTCGGAAGGCACCGTCGACGCCGACAACTAAAATCTTCGTCGGTAATCTCACGGACAAGACGCGCGCGCCCGAAGTCCGCGAGCTGTTTCAGAAGTTCGGCACGGTCGTCGAGTGCGATATCGTTCGTAACTACGGCTTCGTGCACTTGGACGCGTCGGGTGACGTGAACGAAGCCATCAAAGAGCTGAACGGCATGATGGTAGACGGGCAGCCCATGAAGGTGCAGCTGTCAACGAGTCGTGTGCGTCAGCGCCCGGGCATGGGCGACCCCGAGCAGTGCTACCGCTGCGGTCGCGGCGGACATTGGTCCAAGGAGTGCCCCAAGGCGCTGGGCCCCGACCGCAATGGTTTCCGCGATCGAGCATTCGGCCGCGATCCCTACCCTCCACCACCGCCGCCGCCGTTCCTTCGCGATCGCATGATGGGAGGATTTGGGGTAACGCGTTATTTACATTTCGGTACCGATTGTAGTCTCAGCGGGTTCCTATCATCGGGTATGCTCGGGTCGGTCATCCTACTTGGCTCGTGATGTTTACTGATTGACATACAAATTACAAAATTTAATCTCCTCAAATATTTTAAGGCTTATATTAAGATCACTTTAATTTGTGATTGCTTCTAGAATGTTGTGTCATTTTACAAGTAATAATTTTGATTTTTCTTTTATACCAGGATCCTTATGATGGCTACTATGACAGAGCCAGATTTGACTCTCCAAGGGATCTGTTTGAGCGTCGTTACCCTGTTGGAAGTTCCAGGGGACTAGACATGGGTGCATCTCGTGCCAGAGGGGACTTTGTATCACCACCGCTACGACGTGAACCCATGCCACCTATGCCTAGTCTGCCACCAATGAGCAGAACAATGGGATCCATGAGATCATCATATGATACCATGTATAGCCGAAGAAGTCCACCTAGAGGGCCACAAATGTCCAGAGGGTAAGTGTTTATTACTCTTAATACAACCAGACCAAGCAGACCAGTTGCCATTTTCTGCTATGAAGCAACATCTATTTGCTTCTTATTTGTCATCTTTATATTTGTTGGGTAGTTATGCAACCTATGTAACTAGCAGACAGAGCTTCCCCAGAACCTCTTTTATACAGTCTCGAGTGTCGTGTATTTACAGCTGTGTTTGCACCTATGTTTGTCATACATGGATAGCGGTATTGTGTTAAACATAGCTGTAGCATTGTTGGGTACATTTCATGGTTATAAGTTGAAATCGCTTTAACCATGCAAAGGCAACCACGATTTTAAAATATTTGCTTTGTTTTGTTTCCATTATTTCAAAACTTTTATTAATTTATAGTTTATAAATTTAAAAAGATTTGCTTATGAGACTTAATAATTATTAGAATATTGATAAGAAACTATATAAACATTTGAAAAATAGCAATAGATATTATTGGTGTTTGATTTATTCAATTGTAATGAAATAATAAAATATTGTTTGTCTTTCATTTGTTGCAAAAAATAATTGAAAAAGTAGATTTTTCATTGTAAAATGTAACATTGTGCTATTATGCACTGTGTAAAAATTATTCAATTTGTTTGTCAGTGATGATTCTGATGTATCTATCTTCTGTACTGATTTGCACATTTTTTTTACAGATTATATGAAGATTTCAGCAGAGATACCTTTGATGATAGGAGGTAATCATTTTGTTTTTTGTATTGATCATCTCTTTATAAAATGTATTAATTCACGTAATATCGTTGTAATTTACCTTACCTTGTGGTTCCACTAACCTAAGATAGCTGAGGCTATACTAATCTATGACAAATTAATGTCCCACAAAATGTCTCTTCATTAGAATGGGTCATTAATGTATGTACAGTGCACATACATTATGTATGGGTGTTAGGCCACTGGATTGTGCATGTGCATAGATGCAGACTTTTAACTAATTGTACAACAACATTCTAAAGGCATCTTTTCTGTGGGTTATATGATATAGATTTATGATGAATTTAGCTTGTATATATTGTATAACTCAAAATTATACACTACTGTCTGTTGCTTACTTTCAGCCGTTTACTCTGCTAAACATGAGATTTAAAAGCACTTGGTGATAAAATCTTTTTTGTTTTAGGGGGAAGTACAGTTATTCCGCCTATAACACGGTAGATTGGTTGAGCGTTATAGGAAACGCGTTGTAGGAGTGTCCCCATATAACGCGTTATGTACAAATGATTCACGTTAAACTTTTCTCGTTAAATAGAATATTTACAAAAACTATGTTATGAACAAAATATGTGCGTACAAATTATTATCAATTTCCCAGTACAGAAATATAAAGTGAAATTACAGCGTTATATGGGGGACTGAAGACGCGTAATATAAAAATGCGTTATAATGCGTTATAAAAGGGATTACAGTACTTAACTATAATCGACTATTGATTTTTGCGAAAATAATTATCGAGAATACGAGGAATTGTATTATTACATGATTAAATTTAAATGTATTTTCAGGCCTGGGCTAAGAGGACCTTCACCTTCGAGACGTTACGCGCCATACTGAGATGATCCTAACAACATCATAGTCCAATAGTTTTAATGTGACGACTTAATTATTAGATAATGATATGGACAATATATTGTTCTCAAAGCAAAATGGTGAGGACTGATTTGCAGATTTTTAAAGAGAGAGAATGAATGGAATGTATGCAATGCTAACAAATGTTTATAGGTTAATAAATATCATTTTAAGTATCACTTTATGTTTTCTTTTAGTTTAAGTTTAGTTTAGTTATAAGTTTGTAAACATACCTCTCACCCGAGTACTAGGCTATGCATAATTTCGTCCCAATTGGTTCAGTCTTTTTCGTAAGATGTAAAACAGTCTTTAAAAAATGTTAATTAAATACCATTACATTGCAATTTTTATTAAGTGCTTCGATATACACCAATGATGAATCATTAACATTTTCGATTGAGAACAGATGCAGATTAGTTCTCAGCAAATTAATTAGAAGTCAAAAGTAGTAACTGCTTAGTATTTTTGACATTTTATCCAAAGAAAGTCGTTTAAGAAATAATGGTGCCCGCTTTTGACATTATTAAGCAAAAGTTTCACAGAAGATCCATAGATGACATGATAATACAACGTACGTCATAAGACAAATTTTACGACTTGAGGAATAAGATAGGGTTAATTATGACACCATACAATTTTGAAGAAATTCTTTTTAATGGTTTACTTACTGCACACAAAATGTCGCTCAAACTGCATCTTAGAAATTACGTCTTCTAACATTGACAAAGAATAAGCTTTCTAGTCTGAGAAAATTCCGGAGTACGAGGTAGCCTGCTTCCGTGTGCGAGGCTGTTTACAACATAAAATCATACCACGTGAAGGTGTGCAAGAAGATAGCAATCCAACACCATTATCAGAAGGCACTGCACAGGGCTCAGTGGTCGTTTGCTCTACCTGACATATTATGTAAACACTTTGTCTAATATCATCAAATTCTGTAAAATATAGTGTAAAGACATTAGTACCTCGGTTTAATTATAGATCATAGACTACAACCGGACATCACATGTGTGGAAACCGCACATCAACACTGTTTGTGACAAACTAAGAACCATTCTAGCAAAATTATTAATTTTAAAATATAAAACACCTTTTGAAACACTTTTTAAAGAATTGGCGGAATATATTATATCTTACGGTTTACCCAGATCGGGAAGAATCTTCAAAACCAATCGAAAACTGTATATTCGCCATATATATTTAAAAAAATAGTCTAAATTAACCAAAGATATCAATACAAAGACTATTGGAAGTAATTTGCGCTGCGAAATATTATACAAATATTATTTTACGCAAAACTTACTAAACACAACCGCGCACGGAGAAAAGACACTAATACTCTACAGCTACCAAGGTAACCTATAAAGAAAAAGATCACTTAAACTGTATGATTCCAAATTTAATTAATTTCTTGCCACAATCACTATATAAAAAAACTGACTAACAAAAATATCATATTATATACTACATTGATGAAACTATAAAAAGTATTCCTAATCTTCTTTTATTTTTACCTACTTGTATAAACAGTCCACTTTAAAGCCACCTGTACCTCGACACCGGCGTCAATAACATTTACCTACTATCGCACTTGGTGCTATCATCTAACAATATATATATACCTTTATATTGTAAACCAATTTTTATAATATTATTGTAATAAATGGCGACGCTTCGGTGGACGGAGAAATTGTGATCAATTTGTGTTCCGTTACATTTGTAACTGTGTTCGTATTAATTTTTTTTTAATAAATTAAAAATTGGAAGGAACTGGTACTGGGGAGCTCCCGCTCAGAGGTGAGCACAGTACTCCATGTGGGACCGAATTTGCGGTTTATTGAGTTGCAAGCGGTGGCCCGGAGTGAATTACCGTCTCGCCTTGTTGAGCTCACCGAGCTTCTTAAATGCTAAAGTATTTCCTTCCAAATGAGTATTTTCATATGTAACAGTGATAATTTATTGTATGTGTTGCATCATGAATAAGGTCGACTTACACCTGTAATTATGTGGACTCAATGTTCAACTTGTTTAATTAGTCGCGGGCTTAAGCTAGTTATTTATAAAGAGGTGTTTTGTGAAATGAATCAGAAGTTTCTATATAATAAATTTTATTGTAACTTATCTAGCAACATGTATTTGATACTACACTAACACCTATATATACAAAACAATGTACATTAAATGCTTCGTCTGCCTCCGCTTCGACCTTTGAAAGCGATCGAGTAATTTTACAGTGGAATGTTTGGAAGACAATAAAACTTTTTAAACGATTCCACCTAAAGAAGTTATGTATTATATAGCTTTTAAGAGCTTTTTTCCAAGGTCTAATCGAACGCGCGGCGACCACAATACAAAATAATACTACTCGAAGGCATCCCAAAACTCATACAATAAACGTCTCACACGCTGCACGCCATTTTAGTCTTTCTCAAACACTTTTAAGTACAATCCTTAGAATTAGCCGTCACTAACTTGAACACTTGATTCAGGTTCTGTAATACGACACCGAGTTCAAAGTTATTGTCGAAATATCACAATCGTCTCGAAAGCGGGTCGAGGATTCGACGAGCTCACGTCTTTCGGAAGACTTCTGTCCACCCCGCTCACCTGGCGGGTGACAATAGACGCGCGGAGATTCCGGAGAGAGAGTGAAGAGCCCCTAGCCGCGGTCAGACGAGCTTGGCGGCCGGGTCGGAGTGGTACTTGGCCAGCGTCTTCTTGACGCGCAGCGCCGTGAGCCGCACGGGCGGGTTGGCGTGCCAGCACTCGGCCATGAGCGTGGTGAGCGTGGCCAGGGGCTCGGCGCCCATCCAACGCGCGGGCACGGGCGGCCTGACGCCCTTCTGGACCACGACGGCGTGCATGTCCTCGAACGAGGGGTCGGGCGGCACCCACTCGTGGTAGGGCAGCGCGTAGGGCTCCACGTACTGCGCCTTGTCGCCGGTGGCGCAGCGCCGGCACATCTCCCACAGCACCAGCCCCAGCGAGTACATGTCGGCCATCTTGAAGGCCTCGAAGTTGGCCACGTCGAGCCTCTCGTCGAGCACCTCCGGTGGCATGTAGCGCCTCGTGCCCACTCTCGTGTTGGGCGCGATGTCCACCTCGTGCCGCTCGGCCACGTACCGCACGGCCAGCCCGAAGTCGGCGATGGCGCACTGTCCGTTGCGCTTCACGAGAATGTTCTTACTCTTAATGTCGCGGTGGGCGATCGCCGGTTTGCCCTTCGTGCCAAAGATATCCATGTGCAGATGGGCGAGGCCGCTGACGATGGAGTAGGCCATCGCCATGAGCCCGGGCGGATCGAGCACGACGGCCTGGAGGTGGTCGTGCAGGGAGCCGTTCTCGTGGTAGTCGGTGATGAGCAGCATCTGCGTCCACGAGCCGGTGCCCTTAATGTCGGCGGCGATGAAGCCGAGGATGTTCTCGTGCCTCATGAGCACGGTCTGGTAGATCTCGGTCTCGCGGAACCAGGAGGCCTCCTCGGTGGTGAAGAACACTTTGACGGCCACCTTCTCGCCTCGCCAACGCGCGAGCCACACTTCGCCGTAGCGGCCTTTGCCGATGGACTCCACCATTTGAATCTGCTTGGCCACGGTGCGCTGCACGAGCAGCGGCAGCCCCGACCCGGAACCGGATGAGGCGTCGACGAGGGGCGCGGGCGCTGGGGGAGAGGGCGGCCTCTTGCAGCCACCGCGGCGCTTGCGCAGCAGCAGCCAGAAGGCGGCAAGGAAGGCCACCAGGGCGACGCCGAGGGCGACAGCCACAAGGGCTACGGGCGGGCCGGCTTGCGTTGGCAGCAGGGCGGGCGTCTCAGGCACCGAGGGCGGCGGCTCTGCCAGTTGCGGCCTCAGATGTCGATTACAAAGGTCCTTTTCGCAGCATTCGATAACCTTGGGGTGCTGGTGTGGGACTTGCGAGCTTTTACACTGAAATAGATACAATACTCTCATAAGTGAAAACGTTCGAATTAGACTTTTTCAAATCGCGTCCAGAACGTGAATCAAACTATTTATTTCGTTTAGATAAATAATCATTTTGGAACATAGGCTTTAGTAAAACAAAAATAATATACTTACGATATGTTACAATATAGTTCATATTTATTAGACCAAAATCTAATATTATAAGCGCAAAACAATTACCTGCATAAACCCAGACTCATCGGGTGGCAAACAGCCGGCGGTCCTCTCCAGCACTACGAGACCGGCATCATCCAGCACTTCTTCGACGGCGACGAAACAGTATCCACCAGGTTGCGTGCTGCAAGTGCCGTTGGAGGAGCCGTCGGGGCAGGCGCTCGCGCCCGCGCACTCGCACACGATGCCCCGACCTGCAATGCAAGATATTCATGTTAACAAAATTGCACAAAAGCTACATTAAAACGATCATAGAGCAGATGTTTAGAACTCCATTAACAAACAGAATCGACAAAGTATAAATCAATATTACTGTACCAAAGTGTACGTAATGCAGTAAACTCATTCACGTCTCGTTTCATTATCGACATGTAACTGAACCTCAGAACGAACACTGCACACAATAAGAGCGGAGCCTGACCTAGGCAAACTTGGAGTAGTGCCACACGGGCGGAAGTGCAAACATATAAGTCACACAACGGGCCATTTCGCTCATTGTTATCGGACTATATTCCATAACTAATGTAATCGGTTTATCATTTAAATAGCTATTTTTAGATCGTATATTGAAATAAACAAAACATATTGATAACGTAGTTACGATGATAAATAAAAAATAGCACTCACTCACTATAACAAATGAAGCTTTGTGAGAAATCTATCTAATCTATCTTAGCGGGTATTACTCTCATATTGGATTGTATTAAGCTTATTAAAGGCAACGTAAATCTTGGAATAAAGGTGGTTATAATGCCTTATTGTTCTTATATAACCTTATCAGTTATCTTTCTACTATAACAGTGATCTGATATCATTATTACCAAAGCCCTGCACAAGCTACTCGTATACAGAAATGTAACTAAAAAGTCGAAATAAACACGATTTATTTTTTGAAAAAGAGGCGCCTTTATGTTCTACAGAAATCTGATGAGTAGTTTTTGAAAATACAACGAACTCTTATGCATCAAAAGAAGTATCTTGGAAAACAATCTTTTAAGTTTATGAGAGGAAAACCATAATTGAAATGCGTCATTCAAACTGATGTGAAAATTTATGAGAAACATAAGGATAACTATGACTAATTGTAATCAATTATTCCAAAGGATTTAATAGAATTTAGAACTATTTCTAAATAATGGTTTAAATCTTACATACTTAATTAAGATACCCTACTGCTGTCGATACGACCAATCCTTAAAAAAATACTACAAAAAAATACAAACATAATAAATGTGCATCAATGACAAGTGTACACAACATTTAGAGTGAAACATTACAATGATAAAAAAGAAAATTTCTTATACATTTAAAATAAAAGACAAACTAGAATAATAAATACAAGTGTAATTAAAAAAAAATTACCACGTAGTGTAAATTAATACGCTAATTGGAAAGCTTTGGCGAGGAATGTGTAGGTTCGTATAAAATGACGTAATTACAGGTTGCATTAATTATGAAAGGAGCGGTATATAAGGTCACCGGCATTGCTTGAGGTAAAAGACTTGTGTGTCAGAACTTTACATGTAGGACCAACTAAGGCTCAAGTCTATAACTCACTTGAAAAATCAAGGACAGCCTTGCGATCCTGTAACTCACTTTTCGAACTCTCACAGCGGTTTTCGCAGCAGCGATCGCGCTCAAATCAGTCGTAAAGCAGTCATTTTATGATTTGGCATTCTGATAAGGAGGGAGCTTATAGTTTATTGTTTATCAGAATTTTTAGAAGTTACAGAATCGCAAGGCTGGTGTCGAAAATATCCTAATAATAATTTAATAAAAATGTCCAATGAAGTAGAACTAAGGGTGTTTTAGGATTTTTTACACTTATATTGAAACTTGATAGATTTCCGGCAATCCTATACCTATCGTAACCATATAAGCAATTACCAAGGTAGATATTATCGCTTCTTGATAAAAATTTCCACTACGTCTAAACCAAACGCTATTAAACGGATTTCATATCTCGTGTTATTAAATCAATTACCCTATTTACCGAATTATCATTACATTAATATTCTGTTAATTGTATCAATGTATTAAATGTTTAGTGCCCCGTGATTGGAGAATTTCACGAGAAAATGATACTCCCTATCTGAATCTCCCTATATCACCTGAAATGTCATGTGGAACATGGTGTAATGGTTGCAGCTCCTTACAAACGTTGGTTAAAACAAAAAACTTGGCGATTAAAAAGAGTGGTGGAGAGTATATTGTCAGTTCTTCTCTTCTACGCCCTTGAACTGGCAGTAAATGTAAAATTAGAAGCATTTAATGTATATTTATTTTTTGACGTTCATAAGTGTACATTGCATTACCTATATGAAATGATTTTTGACTTTGAATGATACAACCAGGTGAAGAACACAAATCGAACGAGAACGACCGTTTACGTGCAAAACCTCAAATACCCTCGGTAGACGTCAAGTGGAAACAGTTTCATAATTTCTATTAATAACACACGTTCCAGACAGAATGAATAGGGCTCAGGTTTTTTGGCACGTTATACAGGTACCCGAGGCCCTTCGAGTCCCGACCCATATAAGGGACCAACTTATATCTTAAAAACAACAATAGACCAAATGGCAGGTAGGATTTGGAGAACATGTGTGATACTCGAACTTGCTAATTAGATCATTACTCAATTTTGTATCTTCAATTTTATAATGGTGTTTTAATACGTTTTCCTTTTTAAATCACGGCATAGCTATTATTTAAATTATTACTGGAATTAACCGCACATTGCCGTAGCAATTTTTGTACCAATTTTACGTTTTATTCAATTTTAAACTGTACAGAAACAATTAACACTAAATACTGATTAATAAACCTTTTAATTACAAGACAACATCCAATTATAAATAGTCATTAGTAAGAAATGTTAGCAATGTAAAATAGAAGCGGGCTATTATAAGATATAAACTGTTTTAGTGCTAGTAAATAACTGATATCGGGTGTAATGTGAGAGACATCGTAAATGTTACAAATAAACTAGCCTTATGACGCGACTCCGTGATAAAACTGAATGAACTATTGTCATTGCATTAATTCTTGGTCATTCGGACGTCAAGCATAAACTAAGCTTACTTACAAATCATAACCGACTACAAAGACAGGAAACGAACAACCACTTAGCCATAATACCACTCAACCATACACAGATCACAACACAAGCACGTAAAATATATCAACGGGACAATCTGAGATAAAATCACGTACTTAATCTCATGTCGGAGTAAATTCAAGAAGATCCAGGCGAAGCGTCCGCGCTATCATTTAAATTTAACTTGGGACAGCGCCGTCTGTCTCCGGCTATATTTTTATACGGCGTATAACTCACGACGTACGCAGTCTCAAATTGCTCCGCGTAAAACTGTACGCGTGCGTCAATCGCAACGGATGCGGTGAGAATGAGTAGACTAGTGCGCGCGGTGTAGGCTGTCCTCCTCAGGCCTCAGTCGCCACGTATCTCCCCCTCGCTTCCCCTCTACCCCGGTGCAGTATGCAACTACAGCCTCCACATGGCCGAAGCTGCGCCGGTCGGTACGCTAGCACGCGAAAGATTCATTGACTCGAGATAATAGCAACATTTTGTACACGTAAACATTAGAACGGGGCGTCCGGCCAAATAATAAATAATCAACTCTAATCAAAGATGCCGCGCTGCGAGTTTGTTTTGATGTTTGCTTATTTAGGCCAGTGTCAGACAAATTAAAACAAAGCTTTGCAGTCAATCGTATTTAGGAATGTTAAACAAAAGAAGAATTTAAAATTATACATTAGTCAACGTAGTTTTATCTAGAACGAAATAGAATTAAAAAATTACAAAAACAAAAAGCCCATATCCGAAACAAGGAAGATGATTTCATCAATTTATTTTCGTCACAATCGACAGAGAATGATTATTTAATAACACGAGTGGCTTTTGATGAAAAACAGTGTTCATTGTGAAATTATAAATTAATTGATAAGAGCCTCTTCGGTAACATTAAAATTTAAGATTAATCATACTGATGTACTTTTATTAGATTAGTCGTTCACTAATATATTGTTTATTAGTAATCATAACAATCTAATATTTACAATTTTCTTAAACTACAAAAAATAAATAAATCAGTGGCGCTACAACCTCTTTAGGTCTAGCCCTCAGATTTCTGAATCTGTTTCATGATCATTTTTCAATCTAATAGGCAAGTAGGTGATCAACCTTTAGTGCCTGACACACGCCTTCGACTTTTTGGGTCTAAGGCAAGCCGGTTTCTTCGAGCGAATGATAAATGCGCACATAGAAAGAAAGTCCATAGGTGCACAGCAGGGGATAGAACCTACGACCTCAGGGATGAGAGTCGCACGCTGAAGCCACTAGGCCAACACTGCTCCCTCTGTTGTCTTAACCTACATAGTAATAATAAAAATAATAAAAATTAATAAAAAGATAAATAAAAAGAAATTAAATTTTGGTCCCTGGTTGCACCTTTAACGATTCCTCGCTGTAATTCGATACTTATTCGTTGAGCGAGGAAAGCACCAGCTCTGCGGTACAATCTACCAGGCGCCAACTTAAATCTTTAATTAGAGGCTGTGCACTTGAACCCCACGGCCCAAGAGACTACTCCAAATGGAACAAAATCGAAGTTGGAGGAAAGACACTTATATTTACTAATTAAGTTAAAAACAGATACTTAACTTAAATTATTATTGCTCTGTACCCCAATGCCAATCTAATCATGCGGCCATTAGCGTTTCTTTTACTACTGAACCATTACTTTTATTACCATACGTTTCGGGCTACGGAGCGCATCGGGCACTATACAGACTTTGATGTAAGAGTCAATATAGTGATACTTCAATGTATGTACTACAATATGTTGCAGTATTAATTCGTTTCAAATGTATTCCAAGGTCCGCTCGGACTTTGTTATGGCCACTTTTATGAGGTTAATTATAAACGTATGTGTCTGATGAGGTTCCAATTTCTACATAATAATATTAAAGCCCGGTTATTTCCAACTATATTAAACGTTGAATATACAGTTTATATTTATTATATACATTTCTTTTATGTTGTTAGTCGATATCCTAACTTCCTTCAGTACCATTGATCGGAATCTATCTCTATCCATAGCTTTCTCTCTACAAGTTCGACCATAGTCAAATCCACGCACAATATCGATCGGTTCCACACTGGAATGCTAAAAAGCATTGCATGCAAAAAACATTTCCATGTATAGGCCACAGTGTAAAACAAAGTCAAATCATTTATTTCAATAAGGCCTATTAAGAAGGCACTTTTGAAAGTCAAAAAAGTTGAAAATGTTTAAAAATGACTCTAGTTGCCCCTTGTAAATGGTAGTTACATATGTAGAAGAATGGGCAAGAAATGCCATACTTACTCTTTTAAAACAGTTTTTACATTCCATTTTTACTCTCAACTTTTTGAATTTTATATTCACCATAGAATATTGTATAAGTCACCAAATATTTTGATTCACTATACTAGGTTTACATATTATTAATAACGTGATCCGTTTAAGATGTGAATCACACTCAAGATTTATATTCAAACGGCCATGAATTGCTTTGGAGCCGAATTGGAGTGTTCCAATTCAAAAACCCACCAATTCAATAATAGTAAAATGACTGTAATTCCAAAAAAACATTTAAAATAAACGCATGATTGAGGGTGTGTTATGTAACCTGCGTTTAACCTGATACAGCCCAATCCTAGCCACAAAAAATGCGGGAATCCAGTTTAGAGGCGACGCGCCCGCGCCACACTGCCGCCGAATAAATTATACTGTGCATCACTAACTTTTAGGAAAAAGCTTCAACTAAACAGGTTGTAATTTCTCGGATATTAAAGTACAATATAGATCAAACTTTAGGCTACTTGGAAACCCTCGTTACGTACGCTTATGATTCTTATTAAAATTCTCGCTAAATTGATTTGAAAAAATAAGGATTTTTAGAAACCACTTTCATTCTTGTTATTATTTGTGGCTGTTTATTTGCTATTCATTGTTCATGTTAGAAATTGGACTCCTAAGGAATAAAACGCGGTATTCCACGATTTTCTGACGAGCATATTTGTTTAAAAGGATTAAAAATATCCAAATCACCTGCATCATGAGCTCACCCCACATCCACACCCTCACATTCATACCATCACACAGCGCAGCCGAATTGTTTAATATTAACGAAATAAATAAATAACTGATGAACATTACGTCATACTCTGGAAGGTCTGGTCCCAGTTACCGTTCGGCTGTGGTCTGTCTCGTATATCATATAAAAATAGTGAAGAGTAGGAGACGTAAGCACCTGCACTGACGAAGGGTCCGTAGAAATGACGATGGCATTTGCAAGAGTCACGACACCGCCGATAACGGGAGCGTTATGTGCACAGTGCTTCCTAATTAGTCTCAGTTAATTTACCGTAATGTACAGTTTACCGTTTAACTCATTTTGCCTAAGAGGCAGCACATTATTATAGAGATCGGCATTATCATACTAAAGTGGGTAGAGATAGACTTTTGACTATTTAGAGTGAATAATAGTCATAGTCAAAAATCATTTCATACAATGTACACTTATGAACGTCAAAAAAGAAATATACATTAAATGTTTCTAATTTTACATCTAAGTAATAAATATACCCTTGGTATAATCAATAAATATATTAAGAATAATAATAACTTTATTCATGACAGAAATACACTAGAGAGCCCGTGTTGTGGGTAACAAAAAATTATTCCATGGTACATGATTATTTGAAACATTTTTTTTAATACGTGAATGTAAGTGTGGATTGTGGATGTAAGTGTGTGCGTATAATACACAAAGATTGATTCATTTGAGAGTGTGGCTGAGAAATGTTA